TTTTTCTCGTGGACTGCATCATGTGGTAGTATAGTGCTTGTAAGAGTAATTATGTGTAAGTTAGGGGCGAGGATAGGACAAGGAAGAGGAAGGAAATAATCGCGCGCGGTCCGTGGCCTGTTGGTTAGGGTGCTGCTCCGGCTTTCGCTTGGTATTGATCGGAGAAACCACGGAAAACTACCTATCAGAGCAGCCGACAGCTAAACTTTTTCTCCAGACAGCAGATAAATTCGACCTAGCTGTGTATCTAATGTCGTAAATTCTGCCACCGTCGGGTCTCGAACCCTAAGTCTTCCCAGTAAGAAGCATTGCAGTTACATGAGCCGATGCCCTGAGCCAGCTCGTCGGGTGTTATGCATCGTATTCGTACGAGTTATCACCGAACGAACTGTCGAGGGCCAACTGTACAGCTGGGGCGTTGCGGTTCTCGCGTGCGAAAGCAGCGCGGGCGACCGGGTGGCAGCGTGCGGCTCCGCCTGCGATTGTCGCCGGCGACCGACGCGACGGCTACGCCGCCTGAAGAACGACGACGGCGGCGGCGGCGGCGGCGGCGGCGGCAAGGCGGGGGCGCCAAAGGTCACCGCCGCTAATTGCGAGGCTACGCGCCGCCGCCGCCGCCGCCGCCGCTGGCGCGTAGGCGCCGTTGCCGGCCCCACCTCGCCGCCCGCGTGTGGGAACGCCGCACCGCTCGACGAGCATTGTCATCTGCACACAATGCTGACCGATTGCTATGGTCGTTGCCGAGTTAACTTGAAAAGTGCCGATAATAATGCTGAAATACCGGTTTTAATTAATTTGTTGTTATTAGGTGATAAATGCGTACACATTGCTCATAAATATTTATGAATAAATATTTATTTATTAGATTATTTAAATTTCCAGAGGAAATAAATACTTGAAAATGTATGCAAATCAACATGTTACATCAAGTTATTCGCTAAATACCTCGTTCTTTATGCTTCATAAATATAGCGTAAATTAATATGTGTGGCTACGACTTGTCATACGCAGGTCTTCCCCAGTGACATGGGGTTGTGTGCACTGGCTTTCCAAACATAGTGTAAAGTTCCAAATGGGGACAATAGATTTCCGATGGTCGGAAAATGTGCTGTGCCATGTATGTAACATGTCAAGGTTAATTGGGTGGGATGGGTAAAATTCAATCCTCAAAAATCCCCCGCCCTCATCAAGAAAGCAAATAATAATACATAAATAACTCTTATACTAATCGATGACACAGAAAATAATTGCCCGACTCACTGGCGCAGTTAAACGTTCTTATCGTGTTGACGTGACGAGTGAATTCTAACTGAAATATTAATAATTCTCCAGAAGAGTAGATATGAACATTCAGCATTGATGGGAATGAAAACCGTATTTCTATCATTCTAATACTAACTGACGTCTACGCCGCGTCGCGACATACTCCCGCTGTGGCGTTAGGAAAAGGGTTCTGTCTTCCGAGATCGGGCTTTACATCTACATACATCATCGCGATAGAATCTACAACGCACCGGAGTGCACTTAGACGCCACGATCATTCTCAGGAATGAGGTACGACGTGGATTGCAGCAGGAAGATAATAATAAAACGGCATGTTTATGGCCCGGCAAGCGCAAGCAGAACCTAGAACAGCGCTCCTACACGGGCCGGAAGTGTCGACTAGTTCTCCTCGAAAGTCGAGTAGCTAGCAATGGGACTGGTCACGAGATGTAATGGCGTGTTTTGTGCTATATTTAGGAAGTATGTAGGTACCTTCCGTCTCTTTGTGTTATAATATCATAGAAAGAGCTGAGTTTGAGCCCCGGCGGAGGCAGAATTTTCTACACTAGCTAGAGCGCGGAGTTGAATTCAGCAGCGCTAGATGAGAATACTAGCGGCCGGCTGCTCTGACCTGTAGTTTTCCGTGGTTTCTCCTATCAACACCAGGCAACTGCTAGAGCAGTATCTTAACATACGGGACATGCACCGCACGCGAACTTTCCTTCCTCTTCCTTGTCCTTTCGTACACCCTTTTACTTACAGTCACGTGGACTACATTTCCTCGCATGCTGAGAGAGCAGTCGGGAGATAAAAGCTCGTTCCGGCTGGGGCGGTGCCACGCTGATGGGAGATGCCTGGTAAGGGTAAAAAATTGCTGCCAGCCGACGTAGGTGGGCACCGGATCTTGTCATCCAGCGGCAGCCACCTCGAGCAATAAGAAGCATGCCCCACGCTTACGGGACGAATGACCTTAGCAGACGACGTGCCCGGAATCGCTAATCCATCAATCGAAGAAAAAGCCCAATTATCCGATCTTGTCAAAATCTTGTGTATATTATGACCCGCTGCCTATCCCCTCGTAAAAGGAACATTATAAAAAGAAAGAGGAACCTCGATATTTAAAATCTTAAGGTCTTGACAAATATTTCAAGGTACGCAATATTTCGTCCCAAATGGTTCAAATTTTGGGTTAACGTGAATGAAATTGAATAAATAAAATTCGAGATATCAAGGGTTGTGAGTTACTGTAGTTAGTAATCGATGCTTCATAGTATTAATTTCGCACTTTCGATATTTTTCTTATTTTATTTATTTATTATTAGCCCGTTAATCTCTATTAGGGCAAGGGCCTCTTGCACAGGGCAAGGAGGCTTACATTATAAAGTTGGTTCTCGAGCAGCCACCTCGAGGACCTTACATGGATAAATCATTAAACACTGTTTTAACGGATTTCTCCAATTCTTCCATTTTGTATGGTCTTTCGCAACTCTTGACCATTGATGACAATTTATTGATATTTTTCCTACTTGATGGCAATTGGTATTAGCAATAATGCACTCAGTTTTTTTTCGTTCTTGCAATATAGACAAAGTCGGATGTACCTCAAGATAGTATTTTGCGTATAGTATTACTTTTAGCCAAAATATGTAAGAATTGATTTCGAGATGACCCGTTTGACTAATGGCTTACTGCCACTCCCTGTATATATACGTTAAGTGATACCTGTACATACTTCTTGACATTCTTCCGAACCTGCAGTGGGTCCACTTAACCCTTTCGTCACGTGGAGGTCATATCTGTCACCTCCGCCAAGAATGGAACCTGGAATAGCACTGCCTTTGCCTCGCCCGACAAACACCTCCCTTTATGAGCTACTGAAGTCATTGCATCTAATGACCATAAGGAAGTTAATTTATTTTATTTATGGGCCGTAAAATAGATGGAATGCCATCATGTATGTAACAGGCTTTGCTTGAGTCTGTTGGAGAAGGTGCTAGCGTTTTTGTGAACTTTGTATGGAGAGTGGAAACTGTCTTCACCGCCGATCGCCACGTTTGCACAACTTGCAGCGCAGGACTGTGTAAAGTTTAAGTGAAAAGAATTCTCTTCTTAAAGGCATTTTTTCTACTGTGAAGGTAAGCACCTGAAATGTCAAGAAAGCTTATAACATTCGAAAGATACGTTGATTATTTGTTTTCTCGTAATGCAATAGCTGTAAAACCTGAAACGAGAAGCATTGCAAAATCGTATAAACGATTCTATAAACATATTAAATGTAGTTACATTCAAAAAGATTCAAAAAGAAGATTTAAAGATAAGTACATATATATAATTTTCATATATATAATTTTATCTTCTAGTTTCTGGCATTGTGATGAACACGTTACTTAATCTACTAAAATCACACGAAAAGGACAATTAAGATCTCCGTAGTTTTACCCTTTCACCTTTCAGATGCGACTGTGACTAAAAACCCACGTTTGAATCACACGAACTCCAGCAAGTCGACGCTCTCCCGACAGGGGGCTTGTGGGAGCACCTGCAACCAGCCAAGGGTCGACGAAGCAGACGTTTGCACGCATGGATCCCTCTTCACGCCTGGATCCTTCTTCATACCTTTAATTGTTAGAGCCTCTCCGGCTTTGGAGATGGTCATTCATTCGACGATTCACAGACCCCCCGACACTTAACTTGAATGACGTGACGGAAACGTGTTCAAAACTTTTTCAACGCAAAGGCGGTATTGCATTAGGGCCTGTTAGTTTTAGAGGAAGAGGTCGATAGGTGCAATCAAACCGATCGTGCAAGGAAGAATATGTTATGCTGATGATGATGGTGGTGGTAATAATGATTTTGTAAATTGAACAGTTGAAATTTCAAATGAAGTCTGTTTCAATAATTTTGTAAAATACTGTAATGTAGGAAACTTCGTAAAAAAATTATGTTTTAAAATGTGGATGTTCTTATATACTCATTTTAAATTAATTTTGTGACTTATTTAATAATGTATCAATAAAATGTTTAGTAAAACTTATTTGTTTTCATTTAGTGTACTACTGCGAGTGTAAGTAGTTACATTTGTTATTAAAAATAATGTTCCTGAAATCTTTCAAAAGAATATAATTTTAAAATACTAAGTTCGTCATCGTAAAAAAAAATTACTGCGTCTTAAAATAAAATAAATATTTCATAAAATGCTACGCTTTGCACATTAGGTGGCGAATCTAATATGCCACTGAACTCAAACATTTTATTATATTTTCCCATGTTTGTGCATCTTTTTCACTATAAGTGTTCTTCATTGTCATATTTAATAAAACTTTTCCCTAATAAAGAGTTATCTAAAAGCTAGTAAATACATTGAACCATCTCCTGAAATGGCCTGAGTTGCGCTCAGACAAGTAATGTCGGCTTTCCATGATTCATTTACATGAAGTTGTCCGTGTTTTCAATTTTTCTCTAATCCCAATGTTTGTTTGTCGCGAGCCGCAAAGAAAGTAAGTTTAAAATCAATGTGATCTGCTGTGATATACAGCTTGGTCCTGAAGGTCTGATAATTTTCATATCAGCCTCGAATAGAGTTAAGGCTCTTTTTGCAGTACTGGTGGTGAACCTGTACTGTAGCCTGTTATCACAAACAATCTTGTAGCGAATGAAAATATTAGTAGCACGAGTGGAATGTTACTAAGAGACATCATTTGGAAGTGGGATTCTTACACGTGCCGTAAGTCCACGATATGGGTAAACGATATGACTGTCCTTCCGAGAGAAGACGCGCGAAGGACATTTTCTCAAGTACTTGAATTACAAGGCTAATTGTGGATTTCTCTCTTGTTGCAGCGATGGCAGCGCCGGTGGTTCGTGCTGTACGACGACGGGGAGCTCAGCTACTCTGTGGACGAGCACGTGAGTACCTTCCCTTACCATTAGACTTCCCAGAAGGAAACGCACGGTAATAGTTTCCGGGAGTATGTTTGTATCTTTACTCCACTCTACAGCGAAAACGTTTTGATACATTTTCATGAATGCGGTGTTTGTTGGATGGATATTCGCAAATTATTATTTTGACCCTCTGACTCATCACTTTAAATCCATAGTGTCGTTTATACTAAAAGAAAATACACAATATATATTCGTATGCACAGTTGTGAGGCAAATCGCATTCTAATGCCGTCGAGGAATTTTCTTCTATGTGTGAAACATGTGCATACGGGGTTGCCTATCAATCCGGGGCAATATGATTTATATCAATTTATTTATGCACATAATTCCGTTACATGAAATTTCGCACTGTGTTCGTTGGCAAAAAGTGATAAACTTCGTCCCTTTTACATGCCTTAAGTTTGTAACACTTCATTTTTAGTAGTTCCTGTAGTTGTGTGTGGCATGAGACTCGGTTTAACGTATCGAATTATTATTGAATTGTACGCTCGAATCAATTCGCGGTTTTATTAATTATACTAATGAGAACCTAGTTCTACAAGAACTTAGTGCAAATTCGTCCTCCGTATTAAAACATCCGCTGGAAAGAAAAACAAACCATACAAGAATCGCCTTCTGAAGGCATGGATAGGAGACGAATCCATTATTGAAATCTAAGACTTTTTTTTAGGTTAATGTTATAGTCTAGAGTGACAAAATCAAGACTATATGTTTTAGAGATAGATACCGTTTGCGAAAAAATGATGAAAACACAAAAAGAAACGAAATTCTAATATTTAGTCATCAAAATAACTCGACACTGGTGTATACTACATAACCTAACTATACTTCAAGCGATCTGCGGCATTACAAAAAAATCTTGATATGAATTTCAAAAAATTAAAAAATTAAGATTCAGTTTTCGTAATGTGCGAGACTTTAGAGACAGATGGACAAATCTATTGTAGTAGGTAATGTTTTAAGCAATCGTTTCAAACTATTCAAAATTCTTTTTTCCGGAATGATTCAGCAAAAACAGAGTACATGTTGTGTCTCATTGCAAGTATTTCAGTTTGCATATAAAATTATTGTAAATTAAATGGCAACACCAGCCTTCGGTACCCGATCCGTGCTTGCAGCCTCCGAGCTCAGTTCTCGGAACGACGGAAGCTTACCACGCAGCTCCGCTCCGACGAGAATATGATAGCTGCTACGGCGGCGGTGGAGTGGCACGTCCACGCCATCTGGGGGCTCTTTAGGAGGCGCTCCCCGCCCCGCCCCG